AATATTTGTCTCTCATAGTTCTTATCAATTTTCTTTTCATTATAGGTGATGCAAAAACCTTCAAAGCAACTCCAGAACCTTTATGTAAGTTTCTCCTATTTCTCAACTGTTCTTTTGTTGTTGTTGTTTTGTTTTGTTTTGTTTTGTTTTAGCTTCTACCAAGTGCTGGGGTAAGGTTTATAGGCACATAAAAGAGGAGGGAAGGAGACAAATCACTATTATACTGTTCTCCTTTTCCTTTATCGGTGTGAGGAACTGGAGGCTGATTTCAGGATCCCCCTAAGTAACTGATAATTTTTTTATTTAGCAAAGTGTAAACTCTGCTAATAAAATTAACAGGTGAAAGGAAAAATCCTGTGGTTGGATGAAGTCGTTTACCAAAAACAAACAGAAACTTTTAAAAGGATTTCACAGTATGAAGATAGTAAAAATTGAGAACAAGAAAAATAATTTCAGGAAATAAGATCTTATGAGTCTCTTAAGGAAAAAAGGGGAGGGGAGGGGGATGCAGACTTACCCTCTTACTGCTTTCCATGTAAATGTAATATGTAGTAAATGCTTGACCTGAAGCTCCCTGAAATGTACATCCTTCAGTCATGTTCTTGCCAGACTTACCTGTTTGTGTTTATATTTTAGCTGGCACTGCAGGACCCATAAGTAAGTTTCTTTTCTGTGCTTTAATTCCCACGTGCTTTGCTTTACAACACTGTTAGAATATGTAAGACTCTCCTATTCATGGATGTTTATATTTCCTCCTGCACAAATTGTCAATTATTTTTTCCTCCTTTATTCTCTATTCTTATTTTAATAAGCTGGAGCCTTCCTGAGAAAGTACTATCACTTTTAAACCTCTCAAAGTCTTGAGATTCAATGGCCAAAGAAAAGTATTAAGAATAAAAGTGTTAGAAAGGTAGAAAGATCCCTTGCTAGAAATCTCAGTCACACTTGCAAGGAAGAGCAGTGAGTCCTAGCTCACTGACTAAGAGTCCCCAGACTGCTGTTGATGGTTGTGTGGAACGTATAAGCCCTGCTAGTAACAAAGATTAAGTCTGGAAGAAGTGTTCATATAGAAAAACGATATTACAACAAACATCTCTGGCAGAAAAACTGGGAATGAGGGCTGAGTGAGAGTCACTTGATACAGAAAAGAAAAAAAAAATGATAAATGGAAACAGTGACCTATAAATGCTTTGAGATTTTACCAGTCTCTTAATGGCCTGCTGCTTAACGTTAGTACAAGGATCTACATTAGCATCACCTTGGAGTTTCTAAGAAGTGAAGAATCTTCACCTAACACCCACTAAATCAGAATCTGCATTTTTAAGAAGATCCCCAGGTGGTTTAGAACCATTACTCTACAGGGTTTCTATCCTCCATACCTAGAGAAGAAATAAGTTGAGTGCACTAGATCTAAGATTTAAGCACCTCCTCCATCCCTTTCAGATTCTCTACAGGAAGAGCAGCCTTAAATCCGATGACAAGAAAAGTGAAATTTAATTTACCAAGGTTTCATTCATTTCTTAACATATTTCTATCCATCACTGCTGAAGATATTCAGAGCTTGAGCTCCTGGGGCAGGGCCAATACTAAAGGAAGAAGAAGAATGATTTGAGGGTTAGGGCTCATGACAAATCACACCCTGTATCTACTCTTCCTGGAGCATTTGTACACATGAAACATGATTAAAATAATCAAAAGTCAGCCAAGAGTAAACACTGGGGAAGTGTCACTAAAGCACATGTACCCCAAGAGGTACAGAGAAGTGTCTGTGTGTATGTGTGTTTGTAAAGGAGAAGGGCTATTATTGCTAAACATGTAGGTCTAGTGCCTCAATCCTTTTACCCACTAACTGTATCTATGAGAGTCTTGAGCCATCTGAGAGTTTCTATTCCTTTTATGCTAAGATATTGCAGGCCAAGTTACTATGATGACTAAGGGAGCCAAAGTCACCCACTGGAGACAGAAATTCCCACTGCCTCCTTCAGAAGATGAGACCATAGATTCTGATTAAACAAGTTCAAATTAGCCCTGTTGGAAAAAAGGCAATGGTCTGTGGAATCTGCAGAGTTACAAACAGTGACCCACCAGGGAAGGAACCATGACTACTGCATCCCTGCAGCTCCAGCTGTCAGATCCCAGTAGTTATAAGGGTCTTCCAGGATGGAGAATGAAGAAAAGAATTTATTTCCTCCTCCGATGAAGTAGAAATTTTATTCCTTGTGTCTGTATTTATGATGTTTTCCCAAAAATGCTTTCAATGCAAACTGTAAATTTTCTGTGCCAAAGAACTATTCTAATTAGTCTGCCTTGCTTTTCCCATATTTTAGCTGGAGCCATTGGACCCATAAGTGAGTTCCTTTTCTGTTTCCTAATTCTGCACTCTTTGGTCTTCTATGGGATATGGGACCTCTCCTTACCCAAGCTCTTTCCATTTCCAGGATGTCTCACCCACACTTCTTGATTGCATTTGAATTACTGACACCTTCTGATGCCCAAGGCATCAGAAAAAAAAAAAAAAAGAAAGAAAACACTCTGAACTGTCACTGAGTTTAAGACAAGGGAAACCCAAATAATTCATATTTAAAATAATATGAATTATAAGTAAATATTAACCCACGAAAAAATTCTCTTACTTATGATAAAAATAATTAAAACAACTGTTCGTAGACTTTTCCTAAACTGAAGGAAGGGCTACAGGAGAACTGATGGTTCAAAGCAAAGGCAAGAGAATAAGCGTGAAAAAAACAAAGGAGGTATGCTGATGAAAAAAAGCCAACTGGACTGACATCCCACCTACCCCTGGGAGTGTCAATCCTTTGAGACAGCTGAGTGAATGCCAAATGACGTAATCTAGAGGGAGGGTTATGGAGCTTCTTTGCTAAAATTATCTACTGATATGCAGTAGTAATTCTCCCTCTGGTCGAGTTGCTTCATAAGAATATTGTGGCATGAGCATTCTGTTCATATCAAACCACACTGATTTTCCTTTTCTTTGTATTTCAGTGCAATTTACAGCACCAATTCGTAAGTATCAAATTTGTTTCTCCACTCTGGTTCCTTTAATTTCTCACCAGAAGATCTTAAGTACCACTCTGCCATGTTTTATGTTTCTCAATTTCTCTAGTATTCCTATTACAAGGTTTCCAAAGAATCTCCAGATGAAATAAAGAGACTGCAAAGCCCATGAACTAACATAAAAAAATAGAAAAGCAGTCACTATGCCCTGTCAGCAAAGGAAGGTTCACTTTTTTAGAAATATTTTATTTAAATTCAATTTGCCAACATATAGAATAGGTTCACTATTCAAATAACAATAAGTCCCTAAAGAAATGAGAGGGGGAAAAAGAGAAAAAAATTTAAAGGAGACATTATGAATTAGTATGGAAGGAGTTATTCCAATCCTCTAAAATTTGCAAATATCACTGAAAACAAGGGGATGCCTCCATTCCTGGAAGTCCCCTATATGGTCCAATAGGGAGTCTGTCTGAGGATTGCCATGTAAGCAACCCTTGATGCTCCTAGGGTTTCTACTTAGGACACTCCCTCTAGAGTAAGTGTTGAAGAATGGTTATTTCCCTTATAGTGATGAAGCATAGTAATAATCTCTTTCTCCCCTCACCTCTCCCCCTCTTCCTCTCTCTTTCACTCTCTGTTTCTCAGCAGGAGCTACAGGACCTATCAGTAAGTTTACTGTCTGATTCTCTACTGTAGAGAATTTTAACTCCCTGCAGTATCTTAGGGACCCTTCCCTGGATTTCATGTTGGGATTTCAGGGGCTTGGGAGTCCACGTTTTTTTGGCCTTTTGTTTTCTTCTACCTACCATTTCAGTAAGTCATTATTAATAGTGTGAATATACATTCCATTGCCAAACACAAACTGTAAAGTGAAAGATGAACTCTTGAATGTGTCCATTGGCTTATCAATATCACACAAAGGACTTTTAAAAACAGAATGAGATGGAAAGAAGTGAAATTATGGGGAAAAGGAAGAAATTTAAGTTTAAATGGAGAATGGTTTTTCCAATTTTCTACAGGGGTTTAAATGGGCCAAAAGGGTGATCTCTACCTAGTACCTTTGCTACTTAGCCTCTCAGTAGATCCAGTACATAAGGAAGGCCTTATATGTATCAGATTGTCCTAGCATCCATGAAGAAAGAACATCGCTACTACCCCATTGTAGCTGAGCCAAGAGCCAAGTTTAATGGTATAGATTCTTACCAGGAAAAGCATGTAAATGAGAACTATGGGCTCCAGAGTCTGAAAGCAGCTACTCATTTCTTTTCTCTTTTATTTATTTTTTTAGAGCTATCTCAAAAAACCATTGGTAAGTCACCTAACTCTCAATTACAATGTATTTTGGTCCTTTACAATGTTTAGAATGTCAGTTGATTTTTATTTCAAATAATTCACGCCCATAGACTCCAGGGTCAAGTGTTTCCACTGCCTCGTTATCCCACTCAGAATTCCTGGAGGTTGGATTCACCCAGGTTCTGCAATAAAAAGATATTAACTATGAAGCTTAAATACAAATTGATAATTTAACCCCTAGGAAATGGTATTTTCTAAGTTATATAATCTAGCTTTAGCATCAACATGTAATAAAGATTTAGTACACAGCATCTAAACTTCTTGCTTTCCCTGCAAATATTTTTTTGTTATTAGTTTGTGTTCAAAATAATACAAATCCTGTTTCTTCTATTTAATTGCTCTGAAAAGTTCTCTCCAGGACAGTTAGGTTTTATTTTCACCAACTTTTAGCAATTTACCTTATTGCATTTTTCCATAGAAACATTATAAATAATGGTTAGATTCCGAGACACAGTAGTCCATAATTACATATTTATAAACTAAGAGCAAATAGCTACAGCTTCATACACTGGATTATAGGATTTTTAACAAAAAATAGGAATTTTTGAAATTAGAAACCAAAAGAAATATGTTTGAGGTTTCCCATATTTGCCTGACAGAATGAATACAAGTCCTATATCTGTAACTAGTCATTCTTTGTGTAATTCCTTCATGAATTTGTGTGTCATCCTTGCATAGGGGCCATGTTAGTCTTCTCTGTATCATTCCAATTTCAGTATATGTGCTGCTGAAGTGAACACTCCTCATGTGATTTTTATAATGGCTTTCTAACTCTCCTATGCATTATTTTGTTGGGCCTCACAGCATTTCAATGGTGGTGGATAACAGATATTATACCCATCTTGAGAGATGAAAAATTGAGGTTCAGAAGTTATTCCTAAAAAAAATAAGGGAAGGAGGATAGTTAATAATGAAATCAGGACTGAAGTTGTGCTGACTCTTGAGCTCTTTCCACTACTATTTTGAGTGTTCTAATAGGTTATTAGTTAGGAATAAAATAAACTTGTAGGGGATCCCTGGGTGGCTCAGCAGTTTAGCTCCTGCCTTCGGCCCAGGGTGCGATCCTGGAGTCCCCGGATCGAGTCCCACATCAGGCTCCCTGCATGGAGCCTGTTTCTCCCTCTGCCTGTGTCTCTGCCTCTGTCTTTCTCTGTGTGTGTCTCTCATTAATAAATAAACAAAATATTTTTAAATGAACTTGTAATATTAAAAATTGGGGATAAAAAGGCCTTATGGGGAGAGGAAGTGAGAGAAAATGTAATACAAAGAGTAATAGAGAATGAAGATACATGCTGAAAAGAGAAAAATCAAGAGAAGTTTAAAAAGAATAAAAGTAGGAAGAAAATTGGAAAGAGAAAGATTGAGTTGGAGGCAGGAGAAGAAAAAGAGTAAATGAATATAAATAAAGCTGAGAGGGATCCCTGGGTGGCGCAGCGGTTTGGCGCCTGCCTTTGGCCCAGGGCGCGATCCTGGAGACCCGGGATCGAATCCCACGTCAGGCTCCCGGTGCATGGAGCCTGCTTCTCCCTCTGCCTATGTCTCTGCCTCTCTCTCTCTCTGTGTGTGACTATCATAAATAAATAAAAAAAATTTTTTAAAAAAAGCTGAGAAAGAGAAGAAAAGGAAGGCTATAGGAGTCACATATTAAAAGTGGAAAAAGTAAAAAATATAGGAAAACAAAACAAAATCATATTTGAAATGATTATCTGTCTAAAGATTTAGTGGCTTATACCAAAGGGCAGGTGTCCTAGGAGTTCTACTCCAGAATCAAGGGCAATTTTTTATAGATACAATAAAAGCAAACATTAAATTACTTTTACAAAATACCTAAATTTCTAGCTTGTCTACAACTCATGGCCCAAGATATCCACAACTGACAAGCCACCTTCTAGCTTTTTCACACAGGAAAAAAAAATCAGAGATAAAGGTTTTGGGGCTTATGGATTAGAACTGGGATATTTCCCATGAGTGCCATGAAGTAAGGAGCTATGGAGAAGAGAGACACTGCAATGCCCACTGGAAGGAAGGCTGGTCTTTTTAGATTCAACTAACCATGCAGACTCACAAGATGATCCCAGCCTTCACCATGCTACTCAATGGAACTTAAGACAGGAAACACAGCTTGCCACCAGGGTAGCATCAACCATCTCTCTTCTGTAGTCGTAGAAGTGGTCTATGCAAGTATCTACAGAGCCACCTAGGAACTAATCTTTGACTTTGCACAGGCTGCATGGAGGAGCTGCCTTAACTTAGAAGCCTTAGGAGCCAAAATATCCTATAAGAGCTCTACATACATAACCTTCAGGGATCCTATAAGAAACATGCCCAAATACATGGTCACTACATTCAGGAAAGCCCAAAAATATGGCTTTCTACCAACCAAGGATCATTCTTCTTTTTATTTTTAAAATTTATTTATTTGTTTGTTTATTTATTTGAGAGAGAGAGAGAGCAGAGGAGGGGCAGAAGGAGAGAGAGAGAAAGAAAGTCTTAAGCAGACTCTATTTTGAACATGGAGCCCAACGTGGGGATCCATCTCACAACCCTGACATCATAACCAGAGCTGAAATCAAGAGTTGGATGCTGGGACGCCTGGGTGGCTTAGCGGTTAAGCATTTGCTTTCAGCTCAGGGCGAGATCCTGGAGTCCCGGGATCAAGTACCACATCAGGCTCTGGGCATGGAGCCTGCTTCTCCCTCTGCTTATGTCTCTGCCTCTCTCTGTGTGTCACTCATAAATAAATAAACAAAATCTTAAAAAAAAAAGTCAGATGCTTAACTTACTGAACCACCCAGAGGCCCCAAGGATCATTCTTTGATAAAAAGAACGTTGCCAAGTAAGAAAGCAGGTTTAATCAGAACTGGAAAATCAACTGAAGGCCAAATTCTCATTAAAAATTGAAGGTTTTGTTGACCCTTTGCCCAGAGACAATCAAGCTGATCAAAGCAGTAGTCAGTAAGCTGGAAGCTGTGAGAAGACTGCATCCTTAGTTCCTACCTTCATGCCTATCCTTTTTTTTTTTATGATAGTCACACACACACACAGAGAGAGAGAGAGAGGCAGAGACACAGGCAGAGGGAGAAGCAGGCTCCATGCACCGGGAGCCCGACGTGGGACTCGATCCCGGGTCTCCAGGATCGCGCCCTGGGCCAAAGGCAGGCGCCAAACCGCTGCGCCACCCAGGGATCCCCTTCATGCCTATCCTAAAGCATATTAGTTGGTCAGAAATATTTTAGTACAAGGATGGTCCCTTTAAAAAGCAGTATCTGGGGTGCCTGGGTGGCTCAGTCAGTTAAATGTATGCCTTCAGCTCAGATCATGATCCCTTGGTCCTGGAATTGAGCCTCATGTCAGGCTCCCTGCTGGACAGGGAGTCTGCTTCTCCCTCTCCCTCTGCTACTCTCCCTGCTTGTGGTCTCTCTCTCTCTCTCTATCTCTCTCTCTCTCTCTCTCCTGTCAAATCAATAAATAAAACTTTTTTAAAAAGCAGTGTCTTCAACCTTTAATGTCTCTAACCTCTCCTAGGTTGACAAGGATTCTAGAGAGACCCTCATCTCAGGCTGAATTGCAATATATGCTAAATATCTCTTTTGGTGTATGGTTATCATACCTGGATTAGTTCTCCCTAATGTTCTTATTACTGTTATCACTTCTCCCCTACTCTACTTCCCAAAGCCCCACCCCCAGAATAAAATTAATGAAAAATTTATTCTTCATCCAAACACTCCTACTAACATGCCAATTTTGATTTATTTTTAGTGCAAACTCCAGGACCTGTTGGTAAGTTGTATATATATATTCTCAACGTATATATGTTACTCAAATTCATAATAGGCAGCGTGACATTTTTCTAATAATAATTATAGTGGTCTATCGGTATACATTATAAAAAGTGTTCCAAAGCAAAGATGAAATAGAATCTGGGGAAGGACATAAGAAAGAAGAACGAAGACAAAGGAGGATGGCCAAGAGAGTAAAAAAAAGTGACATAAGAGAAAAAAGATGAGGAAAACGGAGGTAAAGGAATATAACAACGATTTCACTTCAAACACCTGTAGTAGTGAAAGGCGAGCATCAAATGGTTTGTCTTCCAACTGAAACAGGATTACAAGTCTCCTGGAGGACAGTCTGATCTTATGGCAAGGATATAGTCCAATAAAATATTTAATTCTGAAGACTGGGATTTAGTAATTCTGGGAAGCTATCTAACTGCTATCTAACTGCTCTCCTTTGGAAAACCTCAGTGGTTTGTGTGTTTATCATGTTCAACAACCAGAGTAATTTATGTTTGTTTCTATTTTTTAGTGCAATATACTGGGACCAGTGGTAAGTCCCTTATCTATCTTTTTCCTCTGGTGTTCTTTGATCTTCTACAGTGTATAGAGGGCCTGTCCCCTGTCCCAAATGTATGTATTACTATAAAGACAACAGTTTTATACATGTTTTCATGCACCTCAGTTCCTATTTGCTGGGAATTCTCCAGGATTGTGTTTTGTTTTTTTAGGAAAAAAGTAAGAAAATGTCCCCAGTAATGGTCATAATGCCTTCTGTAATAATGTAGAATTTTCTGAAGTAACAGAGAAAGAAAGAAAAGGTAGCTTTCGCTTCTGAGGTACTTTGTAGTTCATAAAGAGCCTACTCAAAGACAACAGAGATAATGAGTGTAAAGAAAATGAAAAAGAGGAAGGCAAATTTTAAAGATAAATGTAAAAGAAGGAAAAAACAATCAAATTTAAATAGACTGAGGTCTTATCAGTTTTCTTCCCAGTTTCCTGGGTAAAGTATATCAGGGAATACTACTAAGGATCTAGTCACACTGAGTTCCCCAATTTTCTCTCCCAAAGTCTTCTCTTTCCTCATGTCTTATCCTGCCCACTTACCCCAAACACCCAACACACTCACACACACCCAGACACACAGAGCTTCAGGGAACAGGATATGATGGTAGGTGGGCTGCAATTACAGGAACTGGCAGGTGCATCAGGCAACTACAAACTATAAGTGAAAGAGTGAAGGGTAAGCTCATATTGTGATTAGCTAGGGCAAAACCAGTGTCAAATTCTAGAGTATCAAAACAAACCTCAGGCCATTGGAAATTTTGAGAGTGCAAATTAAGTGACAGCATTCCAAAGTTTAAGCCAAACAAGAGGATACTATCAGAAAGCAAATCAGATGTACTCAAACATTCCTTCAACTAGCTGAGCTCCTGTATCAGGAACTGAACTGAGGCTTGGGGATAAAGTCATGAAAAAAAGAGATAGATTTGGTTAATCTCTGGTGCCATGGAATTTACAGTTCTACAATATCTTGGGGAAAGGAACTCAAAACCTGGAAAGGGCAGGCAGTCTCCCACACAATCATACTATGATCATTAAAACTGGATGGTGCCTGCCCTAAATGCTGGTTCTAAATACCTTCCTTTGTGAATAAACATGATCCATCATTTATCCCCTATCCTCCTAAATTGGAGCCTCCTTTTTAGGTACTCTTAATTATCGCCAAGACGTACAGACTTGGAAGTTCTTATAATTCTTATAAGGGAGAAATCATAAGTCTGCTCATCTCAGAGGATCTCACTGGGGCTAAAGGAAGGGTCTCATCTGGCTTAAAGTCCCCAATTAGCTACCATGTGCTTGAGAATCCATATGGGTACATGGATTCCATTTCCCTTTTCTCCCCTGCTTAATTCCCTCTCCCTATGTGTAAACACTTAAAACATACAGTAATGTATAACTGAAAA